TTTGTTGTTTGAATGAATTCTTTCCACTCACAAAGAGATTAGGGTAAGGAACTTCCCACAAAAATGGGATTCCTTGCAGATTAGAGAAAGTGTAAGACCTTTGAGTCTTACCCTGATGTTTCTACAGAATGGACACAACACCGGTTGTTGCTCTGGTGCAATTTATTCTAGGGCTGTTTTAAGTGTGCACATCTTCAAGCCAATGTTGACACCTGGCAACTGTGTATACCAGCCCCTAAAGTTTACTTGGCAAGATTTCAGAAATAGTTTGCCATTGCCTTCTACTTAAGGTTGAGCAAGGGAGCTGGCTTTGTGCCGGGGGGGGGGGGGCTAGAACTCATGGTCTCCTATTTTCTAACCTGGTTCTTAACCACTACACCAAACTGGCTCTCTTTACGTCTTATGATTCCCCTCAAGATGTTAGGTTCATCCAAAACTGTCCTTCCTTTACAACAGGGGTCTTCAAACTTGACCCTTTTATGACTTGTGGACTTCAACTCCCAGAATTCCTCAGCCAGGCATGCTGGTTGAGGAATTCTGGGAGTTGAAGTCCACAAGTCATGAAAGGGCCAAGTTTGAAGACCCCTACTTTACAATATATGGAAATGGATTTAGCTCTTCATCGCTTTCACTGCCATTCTTCTATCAGTTTCACATCAATGTCACTCTCGTTTCTATCCTTGTTTGTGTATCAAACAGCAACAAAAAATGGGGCGTGCTGAGACAACAGAAACCTTTGTACTGACATGCACTGGCTTGAAAAATAAATCCATGCATACAATCACACTAGAGATAAGCCTAATAGCAGGCCCAAACTGGAATGCAGAGAAAATACAGGTGGGTCAATTACAATATGTAAAATGACTCAAGCAGTAAATAAAAAACTTAATTTTGGACTATACTCTGTCAGTAAACAAAGTTGTTTTAAAAAGCCTTCCAAAATGGAATGGATCGTTACTTTAGCTGCCCCTAAAAGTGAATTTATATTCTTACAAGAGGGAAAAGTAGCAAGGAAGAGCATTTAGAATAGAATAGAGCTGGAAGGGACCTTGGAGGTCTTCTAGACCAACCCCCTGCTCAAGCAGGAGAACCTATACCATTTCAGACAAATGGTTGTCCAGTCTCTTCTTAAAAACTTCCAGTGTTGGAGCATTCACAGCTTCTGGAGACAGGTTGTTCCACTGATTAGTTGTTCTGTCAGGAAATTTCTCCTTAGTTCTAGATTGCTTCTCTCCTTGATTAGTTTCCATCCGTTGCTTCTTGTCTTGTCTTCAGGTGCTTTGGAGAATAGCTTGACTCCCTCTTCTCTGTGGTAACCCCTGAGATATTGGAACACTGCTATTACGTCACCCATAGTCCTTCTCTTCATTAAACTAGACATACTTAATTCCAGCAACTGTTGTTCATGTTTTAGCCTCCAGTGTCCTAATTATCTTTGTTGCTCTTCGCTGTACTCTTTCTAGGGTCTCAACATCTTTTTTTACATCGTGGTGACCAAAACTGGATGCAGTATTCCAAGTGTGGCCTTACCAAAACATTGTAAAGTGATATTAACACTTCATGCGATCTTGATTCTATCCCTCTGTTAATGCAGCCTAGCACTATGTTGGCTTTTTTGGCAGCTGCAGCACACTGTTGGCTCATATTTAAGTGATTGTCCACTAGGACTCCAAGATCCCTCTCACAGTTATTACCACTGAGCAAGGTACCACCTATACTATTCCTATGTATTTGTTTTTTCTTGCCTAAATGTAGAACCTTATTTTTTTTCACCATTGAATTTCATTTTGTTAGATAGCGCCCAACGTTCAAGTCTGTCAAGATCCTTCTGTATCTTAAGCCTATTTAATTGAGTGGTTCTTGCATGCTCTAAATCTTTCTTCAGCAGTCCATAATTTTATAAAGTATGACATCCACTGCCCTCCAGAAAATGCTGTTTATTTTCTTAACAATTGAATTTCTGTGCTGTCTTCATCTCAATGTCCTGCAGCAACTTCAAAACTTACATGTATTTTAAGAAACCACTACAATGCGGAATAAAAATAGCTGGGGGTGCAGGGACTGCCAGAGATAGCAGAGCTCTAGAAATCTGAAAGAAAACAGTTCCATGTTTGTCAACCTTGGCAGTTTGGAAATGTGTGGCCTTCAACTCCCAGAATTCTCCAGCCAGCACAGCTGGCTGGGGAATTCTGGGAGCTGAAGGCCACACATCTTCAAGTTGCAGAGGTTGAGAAACACTGTTTTAGGACCTAGTCTGCTGTTCCTTCAGTCAAAACTTTATTCTGTTCCATTCACTCATCTCAATTCCTAAGGCTGCTCCCATACATAACATATTCCTTCCTGCACACACTGCATAATTGTTGATCAATGCTCCATTACTAAGCCATTAAGCATGCTCCATTCTCCAATTTTGCAGTATGTTTGCCTTCCATGTTCACACACCTTACGGGAGGAAAATTATAGGGGGCTGTTCTCGAAGTCTTCTGCAAATCCTGGGACTTGCACAGAATTTGCATGATCAATCAATCATTACTTCATTTATTTATTTATTAAATTTATTTGCCCCTCCCCCACCTCACCACAAGGTGACTGTGGGTGGCTTACAATGCCCCTTTTTGCACTACTGGTGCTAACTTTGCCTACGCGATAATCACATTTCTGGAAACAGAGGCAATATATTGCTATCTATGATGTCTTCAAAAGCCTGGCATATACAAAAGGCCATTCCTTTCTGCACAGAACACAGTGAATTTGGGTTTGGTAACTCTTCCTAGGAAGAGCATCCTGAAGATTAAGGGGGAAAAAATCCCTATTTTGGGTCCTGCATCATCTCAGCTAAGGGACTAAGAAAGGTTTTGTTAATGTTTCTGCAGAAGAGGGGTATCTTTAAAGCTACCATTCGTGAATACCCATATATTTCAATAAATCCTTAATTCTTTGAACCTCTGTTTGGTAGACTTCAGATGCAATATTGCTTTAAGTCAGTGTTGACTACTGGAGATTGCCTGGAAAAGTCCCTGAGGTTTTCTTGACAAGATTTTGGAAGTGACTTTGCCATTGCCTTCTTCCTAGGGGTGAGGGCAGAGGGACTGGCCCAAGGTCAGCCAGCTCACTTCATGCCTAATACAAGTCTAGAACTGATGGTTTTCTGCCTTTTACCCCGGTATCTTAACCACTGCACCAAACTGGCTCTCTCTCATATGTCATTTAGAAAATGGTTACAGCGGCTTGTTCTTCCACACCTTGGAGACAGGGCAATTGTGAAGGACACATGCATTATGGTTGATTTATTGTTGGTATTTTGTTCTTCTGGCTGGTTGGGTTTTCATACATATAACTGTCTTTTTCTTTGTAACCCACCCACAGACAGACTTTGGAGCCAGAAATCAGAAAACTACAAACTGCCGGAAAGAATACAGTGTATGATACCAAAATATACATAGCAGCAATACATGAACAGTATATCTAGCACTTTACATACATTATTTGGCTCAATGCAGTAAGTAATCCTGGGTATTTGCTCAATACTCTCACCCACTCTACACTTTTGGGGTGAGGAGCTGAACTTGATGCAGGCAATTGTAGTGGGCCTCCCAAGAGGCAAGTGGCATGACACACGCCATGATGTCATCATGCGAATTGCATTAATTATCCAAGTAGCATCATTTGTACGATGACATCATGGCAAGTGTGACCTCATGCTGGCTTCTTACCAGAGATCCACGGCAACTGTCCGTGATCAAGCCAGAGGTTTGTTTGGCTTAGCATCTTACATGAACCCAGCCACTGTAATCTGAAAAACCATACTTTAGGGCAGTGATGGCGAACCTTTTAGAGACCGAGTGCCCAAACTGCAACCCAAAATCCACTTATGCATCCTCGGGTGCCGGGTGGCTATGGCCCATTGGGTGGGTGTGGCCCATTGGGTGGGCGTGGCTGTGGTCGTAACGGCAGACTGGGTGGGGCTAAAAAGTTCAACCAATCAATTCCAACTTTGCAAGATCTTTTCTTTCCCCACGAGAAGTTGAAATTGACTGATTGATTGAACCTTTTTTTTTTTTTTGCACATGGCTGTGGAGGCCTAAAGCGAAAAAGTTTTATAAAACCCAGCTGAAGGCCTAGGACTGGGGCGACGGCGCGCGTGCCCACAGAGAGGGCTCTGAGTGCCGCCTCTGGCACCCGGGCCATAGGTTCGCCACCACTGCTTTAGGGGCTTAGTCTGTCGTGTGAAACAAGGTAATTGTGGCTTATTCAATTAACCAGTTAAACAACCAGAAGCTTTCCACAATGTGTGAATCCCATTTATGTCCGATGTGAGATGAAGGACTAAATGAAGGACTAAGTCAATCTCTTTGCACTTCTTCGTTTTAGAAATGTATTTTCTCTTCAGCAAACTTTAGTTGATCGGTTCCTAAAATACTGCCCTAATTTACCATCCCCGTTACTTGCCTTGAAGATAATGAAGCAAGCATAATGTACAGATCATGAGTTATATTAGTAGCCATGGCTCAGTAACTGGGGTGTTAAGCAGATGGCCTTCTCCCTAATCACACTTATATTTCAAACAGCATTAAATTTGGGGTCAGTGAATTCAAACTTGTACTAACATTGTACTAAGGTAAACTTGACCTACAAAACCATTAAAATCTTCAAAAAACCATTCGCGCCCACAGGAAAATCCTTTCCATATTCTAAAACTTGACCTTCTCCATCCTAATGTCCTCCAGAGGAGTTGAATTACAACATCCAAAATTTCTATCCAGCACAGTGGAGGATTATTCTGGTTGAAAGTGAGGGCAACTGCAATCCAGCACAACTAGAGGTTGTTGGGTTATCCAGAGAGCCAAAAGATTTGGGCAACCACTGCTTGCTAAGAACAATGCAATATTCACATTTTAAATGTTTTAGTCAACAGGATCTCGGATCCAGTGTGTTCCGTGTTTTTCAAAAGGCTGGACACAAGCTAGGAAGCCAATAAGTTCAACAGCTCCACAAGTTCAACGTTTTACAATAAGTGCAATTTTAATTCGCCATTAAATTCCCATTTCAGGTTTACGTAGCTCACCCATGTTACCAGAACATCGGTTCATCACTGGAAATGTCACCACAATAAATACATATAAGAGTAGCTGAAGATAAGCAATATAGAGGACAAGTATTGCTTTGGAAGATAACCTCTGGAGTCATTCTTAAAAAACAGTCGTGGGAAGAATCTTCTTAGCTAGGAAAGACACGACATGGTTTAGGCCCTTCACCAGACTTGTGGTAGCATCAATGACCAATAAGAATAAGCCCCCAATGCCTGAACCAATATCTTTGAGCACACCCGGAATGGCACCCAGAGTGTAAAAAGGGAAAGACACAATATCCAGGATCAGATTAACGGGGACACTAAGAATCCTGTAGGTCACCATGAGAACATTGTAGATGTTCTTCGCAATACCATTCAAGATGCTGACACCCACTTGGGCCAGGCAGATAAAGATATCCAGCAGGGCGGTGGTTATCCCTTTGATGAAGGTGCACACTCCGCTGAAAATCTTCTGGACGATGAACTTTACCAAACACCACACACATTTCACAAGTTGGCAAACCAGATAGCAAACAAACTGAAGCACTTTCATGATAGGGTTAATGACAAAATGAAAAAAGTTCTTCAGAAAGCCACTTTGCTCCTTGGCGGTCTGGGTGTGCTTATTTTGAGTGGGCTTTTTCACACAGGTTGGTTTCTTCGCCTGGACTTTCTTCACCGAGTGCAACACATTCTCCATCTTTTTAGGATCCTGTCGATCGTGGCCACAGCGGTTCTTAAAGAGCTCGGCTCCTGCAGGAAGCTTCTTCTCAAGAGCTTCTACCGTTAGGTCTTCCAGACGACTCTCAACATCGGCTTCTTTAATAAATCCCACCGACCAGGACTCGGCACCATTGTCACAGCAAGCTGCCAGCCAGACAAATTTGGGGACCGCGATTTTGTCCTTTACTTTGAGAGATGAAGGCATTGCTCCGGAGAGGAGATGGAGATCTTTCCCATTTTGACAGTGAGGAGCCAAACCGTGGCTGATAAGCTGCTCTACTTCCCAGTGCCAAAGCTCCTGGAAAGGAGGGGAGAGCGGCACTGCGTTGGTCAGCGTGTGGGTGGCAACGTGGTGGTCGTCCTTATGAAGAGAGCTGGGGTTTAGGCGCCCCCTCTCATAGCCAGAGTCTACATAATCTGCCATGAGGGCCTGGTTTTTACCCAGATGTTCCACCGACTCTGCAATCTCAGCTTCCGGCATCATTTCTGCCTGATTATTTCCAGGGTCATCAATCTGAAAAAGGAATAAGAGCAATTGCTGAATTCATATTTGTCATATTTGCAATCTGAGCCATTTCCCATAAGGTACTAATGCATCCACTAAGCTAAGGCCAATAAATGATTGGAAAGAATATTTTGGAAATCTGCAATGATGATGCTACCAAAGTGGGTAATGAAACATCTGAGAGCCAGTTTGGTTCAATGATTAAGGCGCCAAGCTAGAAACCAGGAGACTGTGAGTTCTAGTCCTGGTTTAGGCATGAACGTTGGCTGGGTGATTTTGACCCAATCACCAGGAGACTGTGAGTTCTAGTCCTGGTTTAGGCATGAACGTTGGCTGGGTGATTTTGACCCAATCACCAGGAGACTGTGAGTTCTAGTCCTGGTTTAGGCATGAACGTTGGCTGGGTGATTTTGACCCAATCACCAGGAGACTGTGAGTTCTAGTCCTGGTTTAGGCATGAAAGTTGGCTGGGTGATTTTGACCCAATCATCAGGAGACTGTGAGTTCTAGTCCTGACTTAGGCATCAAAGCCAGGTGGTGACTTTGGGCCAGTCACTCTCTCTCTCAGCCCAATTCACCTCACAGGTTGTTGTTGTAGGGAAAATTGGAGGAGGAAGTTTTAGGCATATTTGCTGCCTTGAGTTATTTATAAAATTAATAAAGGCAGGATATAAAAAGAAATAAACCTGCAAGCAAACAGCAGAGCTTAAAGAGCATCACCAACACCATAACTTTGGAAATCATAAATCATTTCCAATATTTTGGTGATGGTTGTTTTAAGACAATCCTGGTATTTGTCCTTTTAAATTTGGCAAATTGCTTTTTTTTATAACAAAGCCTGTGTCCAGAGTTAGAGCTTGAAATTATGCATAATTTTAAATGCTCAAAAAATGCAAATTACAAACATACACTGCAACTGTTGAAATCTAGAACTAACAGCCAGCAATGGGGGACAACTGAAATTTCTGATTTTGTATTTGTTTTGGTACTATTTATTGGTCGTGGAGCAATACATTCATGGGCATCTTGGGAAAAAGAATGCTGGAAAGAGTTTGAGGCAACCCAAGAGAGGTTAGTATATACTTATGATGTTATTTTTAAAGGTCAGGCTAGTAATCTCATGACATAGTTTATATATGATTAATATAACCATGATTTATGGAATTAATCCAGAAGGAGGCTAGCTTTGTACATGCAGAAACCTTACATTGATTGATTCTTCAGTCATGAAGATATATAAACCACCTGGGTCAGCCTTACACATAGACCTGTCTTCCTGTTTCAGATTTTTGCAGCCTTTTGTTATGAACCGGTTCTTCTGACTCCTATTCCATAGTCAGAAGAGTTTACATTCTGGGTTTTATGCCAATTTCTGATTCACAGAGTCTAACATTCCTTCTCCAAAGCAAGAATGAGTTCTATGCCTTTGGTAACATCCCGACATTCCTCAACTTTTGTGAATCAGAAGCACATAATCAGAAAAGTTTATATTCTGTAACACTCCAGGATACCTCAAGTAAAAAGCCTAGAAGTCTTTACCACCCCAGGCAGGATAACATTAAACAAAAATGGAAATTCCCACGTCATTCTTGGGAAATTAATAATGACTACATAATTCAGGAATGTGTTGGCCATGGATAGCTCAGTTGTATTCCATTAAATCAGGGGTCTTAAACTTCATCTCCATCCACTCACGACGAACAACACTACACTGATACGACAGATAAAGAGCTAAGCCCAAAATGAGGGTTGCACTTTGGGGGTTAAGTGTCACACATGAGTGTATCATTTCAACTGGCTATGCCTAACTATTGTCAGTAGCAGTGAACTATGGTGCAATGTTGCTCAGTGCAATTGTTTCACACATTCATCTGTGCATGTATTTTTAATGTGAGTTATGAACTACTGCCTGGAGTTTGTCTATGTCCGTGGTGGCGAACCCGTGGCACGCAGAGCCTTCTCTGTGGGCACGCGCACCGTCACCCCAGTCCTAGGTCTTCAACTGGGTTTTGTAAAACCTCCGCCGCCGTCTGCAAAAAAAAAAGGTTCAATCAATCAATTTCAAGTTCTCGCAGGAAAAAAAAAAGATCTTGCAAAGTTGGAATTGATTGATTGAACTTTTTAGTCCCACCCAGTCTGCCATTACCACTGCAGCCGCGCCACCCAATGGACCATGCCCACCCAAATGGCCACACCCACCCAATTGGCCACGCCCACTCGGCACCCGACGATACATAAGTGTGTTTTAGGTTGCAGATTGGGCACTCGGTCTCTAAAAGGTTCGCCATCACTGCCCTATTCAGTTTCGACTTACAAGCTATTTGTTCAAAGTTACAACAGCACTGAAAAAAGTGACTTACAGCTGATCCTTGCACTTATGACCATCACAGCATGCCTGTGGTCACAGGATCAAAATCAGGCACTTGGTAACCAGGATATATTTATGAAGGTTGCAACATCCAGGTGTTACATGATCGCCATTTACAACATTCCCTGCCAAGCAAAATCAGTGGGGAAGCTGGATTCGCCGAATGGCCATGTGATTCACTTAACAACTACAGTGATTCATTTAACAGCCATGGCAAAAACATTGTTAAATAACAACTGTTTTGCTTGGCAACACGAATTCCTGTCTCAATTGTGGCCATTAAGAAAAGAGGACTACCTGTATTTGAATAGCTTTTGATTTTGCAAAATGCCCAATCTAGACAAGTGAGTTAGGCCTCTGCCGTTATATGAGTCACAGGCATTTTTCTGTTTCTCCCAGGCCAAATGAAAAAGAAGCAGCGCAGAAGAGCACAAAAGAGCTTGACCACTGAAAATATGCTACAGAAATAGTAACAAATCTTTCTCCTGAGGCATGCTGCCGAAATATATCTTACTACCCAACATTATCTTTACAAGATCTCTTCCAGACATCCTTTCCCTCCTAACTACTGGGTGGCATGTCCTACAACCAGACAGTACAGTCAATTGTTAGAAATAGACTATTTTAAATATATATACTGTAAGCTATTTGAGGGAAATAGAGAGGGAATATTTGTTGTACTGATTGAGTTATTTACATATGTTTTGTTTTTGGATTTTTGATTACCCCAGCACCACGGTGTGTCTTGAGCACTTTGCATTAAGAATTTAAAAACCAATAAAATTTGTTTTTTTTAAAAAAAAAACTCGATACAACCAGACAATACAATCAATTAAAAACTCTATTCATACGTTTTAAGCTTGAATAGAATGAATCTAATTCTTACTAGGATTCTTAGTATCATGCAATTTAGCTTGCTGGCTAATGTGAGGTTGGATTCAGTGTACTGCACAAATCCAAGAAATGAGTTAATTTAGTAAACTGTTGTATGAAGGAGGTCTACTGTGATCCCTGTGCATTCTCCTATACAAGCTAGACCAGCAATAATGTAAAGTGCAGTCTGGGGATGATGGATGCTTTAGTCCAGGGGTAGTCAGCCTTGGCTCTTTTATGACTCGTGGACTTCAACTCCCAGAATTCCTGAGCCAGCATGGCTCAGCTTGGAAACCTCTCCCTTTCCCCTCAGCATGGCTGGCTGAGGAATTCTGGGAGTTTTATGAGTCCACGAGTCATAAAAGAGCCAAGGTTGCCTACCCCTGGTCTAGACACTCATTTCATGGGGCTAATTGAGGCCATACAACAGGCATAGGCAACCTAGATCCTAAGCTGGCTCAGGAATTCTGGGAATTGAAGTCCACGAGTCATAAAAGAGCCAAGGTTGATTACCCCTGCTTTAGTCCAATTATCTCGAATGGGGAAAGGAGGCTACTGTAGACATTGCCTGAGCTGTGTATAGCTGTCTCACTGAGGTCACAGGGGAACTCGGAGGAAATATTAATTTGTTGCTTAATGTTTTGCCACCTCAGAACGATGTTGCTCTCCTGGGCCTCAGTTTGAAACCCAAACACCCCACCTATTGTCATGTCCCATCAGGGAAAAGCATACACGTGATCGCTTCGGCAGCACATATACCAAAATTGGAAAGATACCGGAAAAGCATGCGCAGCTAAGGCAGTGAACATAGCCTGGCATCAGCTGGTTCTCCAAACAGGCTTCTGAGACTAATTGGCTCCCTGGACACACAATGCTCGCCTTTAAAGTGCCCTGTTGTAAGCCAACTGAGTCGTCACAATAGGATATGTTTGTTGGAGGACTCCCCCGGTTGACTTTTCCCTTCCCTATTCATCTTGCAGTCAAATATCCTTCTGTTTTGAGAAAAAGCTTGTTTGCAGACCACCCTGGCCAGGGCAGAGGTTGGTACAATCCTGGCCTCCTTCAGAGGAAACATGGGAACAAACAGCTTATCAGGTCCTTAGAGGGATCATAAATAGCCTGAGAAAGTTTCAGGGAATAAAATAAGCATACATGCCCTCTGCTTTCTTCTCAATATAATGGATAAGAGGCAGGACAGTACTGGGGAGGACATCATAGTCCATCACGATGTAAAAACTACCAGATTCCACCAGTTTTGTTAACCTTAAAAATGATGGGGATTACGTCAGAAGCTTCTGCAGCCACGTTAAGTGTTCTGGGATAGGGACAAACAAAACAAAACCAGATTTTATTTTAACTTTACAGCAAAGAGACATCTCGGGGGGGGGATTTTAATTTAATTACAGTACCCGCATGGGATTATCCCAAGAAAATGGCACTCATGGAAAGCTGGTCTTACATTCATGGCAATCACAACTCGGATCCTGTCAAAAGCACCCTCTCTGGATTTGTATCGATGGGGAACACCTCACTTCCCAATTGTTAGGCAGCATTATCCTTTCTCTCCTTTGTTACAATCCAGAGGTCCCCAACCTTTTCAGCACCAGGGACCGGTTCCGTGGAGAGAGGGTTTTCCGCAGACCGGAGGCTGCACGGTTTTGTGTGCTGCCTTCATCTAGCGAATGGGGCTTTGCTTGTTTGTGCAGACCGGGTGCTGGCACGCCACGGCCCGGTATTGGTCCACAGCCCGGGGGTTGGGGACCCCCGT